CATGGATATATTGATAAATGAGGTCTAAATTATAAGAAAATGCATTTTCTACGAAACTTGAAGGGATAGGTAAAAAATGGTATAATACAATTTGATAGACAAATTTAATTGTGCATCTGATTCTCCTAAAATATACAGGGCATTCCATTTAAATTAAAGAAGTTGGCTTTGCCAGTTTGAAGCTAATAATTATTTAAAATAAATTTTTAGACACTCTGTATAAGGTAGTATTATTTTTTATTATTGCAACACAATAACTGATCAATAAATAAACTTCATTAAATATTTAGTATTAAAACATTGATACCCTTGGAGAAATGGTGAAGCTTTAAAATTTTCTTTTACTGCAAATTTCTCAATAAAATTGAAAATATTTCAAAAACGGCAAAGGTTTAAGTATAATAAATCTTAATCAAATTTACCTTTATTTTAATCGTAGAAACTAAAAGCTCTTAATAATATACAGGGTGTTCCATTTAAAAAAATACAACTTTGATATTTTTTATTTATTTGGGACACTCTGTATCTTGTAAAAATATTTTTAAATTGTAGCTCTAATAGTCCTTCAACGAACCAAAGAACTTACAATTTGTAAAAATCTCATCGTTTAGCTACAATACTTTTTGGCTATTAAAAATTTTAATCTTAATTTCGTTTCAGAAACCAAAAAAATACCATTTTGTTTATTTTGGGAACTGATTAATTTTTTTATTGCTATATGGATTATTTTTCATTAAAAGTCACTAAAACGTCACTAAAAGATTAATTGGTGTAAACAAATTTTAACGGGTCGGAGATATGTTGATTTGGTGCTAGAACCAATCGTTAGTCTTTGGAGAGCTGCGATTGGGGATTAACTAAATTAATTCAACTTCATATAAAATATATATATTCAAATAAATACAGGGTGTTTCAAAACAAATGCGAAAAACTTCAGCAGGCGATTTCTTGTTCAAAATAAAGGGTAGTTTGCTTTGTAAACGTTGTTTAAAAAGTCAACCATTAGGGAGATATCGCGGTACAAAGATGGCGGAAAAATAATGTTTTTATTTTTTATCTTGAAAACGAAAAGAGATAGACTAATAAAATTTTATGAAAGCATTACTGTTATGAAAACACACTTTCTGGTAATTTTTTCACTTTTTTAAAATGAGTGGAAGGGGTTGAAATAAACTACCCCTATCATTCTTGTTAACGAAATTTAAAGAAAAATCTTATCAAACACATGCAAAAAAATTAATTTAGTTTAGTTTGTTTATATACTTTTTTATCTCTTGTATTTTTTTTATGAAACTCACCGATTTGAAATTAAAAAATAAAATGTAAAGCATTACATGTCAGGACTAAAAATATTTTTAGATTAAGAATCTAGTGATAATAATGATAATAATAATAATCTAGATAATAACGTATTGCAGTAGGGTAATGTCAAATAAAACAATATTAGAAACATCCTAAAAAGTGAGTGACAGCGGCCGACTAGATTTTTTCCTAAAAAAATTACAGCTGCCCACTAGATTCTTTATCTAAAAATGTTTTTTGTCCTGACATGTAATGCTTTACATTTTATTTTTTAATTTCAAATCGGTGAGTTTTATCAAAAAAACACAAGAGATAAAAAAAGTTTCTAAATAAACTAACTATCAAAATTATTTTTTTTTGCATGTGTTTGATAAGATTTTTCTTTAAATTTCATTAACAGGAATGATAGGGGTAGTTTATTTCAACCCCTTCCACTAATTTTAAAAAAGTGAAAAAATTACCAGAAAGTGTGTTTTCATAACAGTAATGCTTCCGTAAAATTTCATTAGTCTATCTCTTTTCGTTTTCAAGATAAAAAATAAAAACATTATTTTTCCGCCATTTTTGTACCGCGATATCTCCCTAATGGTTGACTTTTGACCCAATGTTTATGAAGCAAACTACCCTTTATTTTGAACAAGGAATCACCCCCTCAAGTTTTTCGCATTTGTTTTGAAACACCCTGTATATGTATTTTAATTCAAACGTTTAACGGTCTAGATGTTTCACCAATATAATAATTAGGTTTCAAGTCATTTTAATGACTATTTTTAGTATTTTATGAAACTTTATTATTAAGATATTGAAAATGGGCATAATTTTATTAAGATATTTTAAAAATCTGATGTTTTATTTATTTAGTATTAATTTTATGACAATAATTAAAAGCCTTTCGAGGACTAAAAATGTTATCGTCAAACGTATAGCTTATTAATTATTGACACAACCCAATGAATGATTTTTTGTTTAAATTAAATATATTCCTTTCCTTGAGGGCCCCGTTGATATAGGACAACATTGTACCTGTTATCTGTCACCCAAAAATGCCAAAAATAACTGATAATTATAATTTATTTACATTGTCAATAAAAGATAAACGAATTGAGGAATATTTACCTCTTTAAAGAATTTGATTTTTAATTATAAAATCCGTATAAAAATTGATATCAAAAAAAGTTGATATCAAAAAAAGCTAATTTATGATGATTTTTATGGCTAAGTCACAAATTACCTATAACAGATGCGAAAGAACACCGAATTACGCGTTCAGGTTTCTGTGACCTTCAGAAAGAGTTCATAGACAATCCGCATCAATGTATAGTTTGGGTTATTATTTGTTTGGGTGAAAATAATCTGCACCAATATGTTATCGAGGCATACAAAAAGGTCCACAGACTTCGAGACATACGAAAAATCAAGTCCATTTAGCGTGTATCGCAATTTTCAGACCTTAAAAATTAGTTTTTTATAGCTATAGCAACTGCAGCGACTATGAAAAAAACTGTGTGATTTTCATAGAAAATAAGGGCACCTGTAATTCATTTGAGAATGTTATAAATCGTTAAAAGAGGTTTCAAATCTCTTAGATTTCTATTAATATTAAATAAATTTTATTAAAAATTGAACTAAAATTGTTAGTATCATTAAAAAACTTCAAATTCAAAAATTGTATCAGTCAAATTCCCTCATTTAAGATGAATATTAAAGTAAGTATAAATACAGCTCATTCTAAGCTCTACTTATCTTTAAGAAACATTTAAATCATTGTTGCAATTGGGCCTTAATGCCATTTCGAATGAACAATAGTATTAATAATGTACATTATAATAATAATAAATTTGATATCATAGTGTGTATTAAAACTACTAAAATACTTTTAAATTGGTATTATATTAACAACTTTTGTTTTTTAATCCAAAAAAAAGTTACCAATTTTCTCAATCAAAATATTTGTGGTCCTGAAAAGGACCTTCGTTTTCCCATGTTCGTCAAGGTAGGTAGATAAACGGTAAAAAAACAGGATAATGAAATTTAAAAAATTACAAAAATTGTTCAAAAGTGCCTCCCTCTTGCATTAAACAATAACCCAAACGATCATAAAATCCCCTCCTCACATTGGATAACATATCAGGGGTGACAGTGTCAAAGGCATTAAATATTTTCTGCCTTAACTGCTCCAAGTTTTGAATTTCTTCATGGCCGTAAATTTTAGATTTTATGTACCCCCATAAAAAGAAATCATTCACCGAGAAGTCAGGTGAAATTAAACGTCAGTCTAAACAAAACTGTCATTTTTGAAAACTTGTCAAAATTTGGACACACGCTAAATGGACTTGATTTTCCTATGTCTCGAAGTCTGTGGACTTTTCTGTATAATCTCACAGTAATTTAATAGATTGCTCGTCATATTATATCAGCTCGTAGGAGATTAGGAAAAAAAAAGATATTTATAGTATAAAAAATTAATTTATTTAACAAAATTTAATTAAAGATGTGACAAAATAGTTACATTTCTATTGGTTCTATCGGACTTTTTTCGACTATATAAATCTTTATTTTTTGTAAACTTTAATGCATAAAATATTTTCAATCTAATAAATAATTTATGATGTAAATAAGAGAAATTTCTCACATGGGTGGTCAAATTCTATAGTTTTCATTATATCAAACAGCCTCTGAATGTTTTTTCAGTGGAAAACTCATCAAAAATTTAATATAAATAATTTTTCCAGCCTGTAAATAAAATAGAACAAATTTTTCCACTTTCATGATCAAAGGCTTTAAATGGGTAACAATTTTCAGAGTTATCCAAAGATTCGGATTCTTTTGCAAATTTTAGACAAATATCACATTGATGTATTTGAAGACCCTTTTTAATGATGTAGTCAAACATAATTAAAGGCATTTTGAGTCGAAAACATTTCTCAGAGGCTGTTTGATACAGCATATGTAAGTTAACTGAAAGCATTTTTTAAAATATATAGAATTATACAGGGTGTCTCCAAAAAAAGTTACAAATCAAAGTTGTGTTTTTTCTAACGCTACACCCTATATATTAATTGATTTTCGGATTCTAGGAAAAAAATAAAGGTTAGTTTTATTAAAGAGGCATATACCTAAAATCTAAGGATTTTGACATATTTCATATTTTGTTGTGAAAATGAAGAGTAAATTTTAAATTTCGATAGCAGCTACCTAAATTTTAATTGACCTTGTATAGCCTTATATTTAATTACAGTAACCATTGTATGTTAAGGCAAATCGAAATTTGACCCGAAAAGTTATACAGGGTGAGACAAAATTAATATGGAACATTAGTCACTTGTAAAAGCAAGTTACTCCTTTATTTTAAATGGAACACCCAGTATATTATTCCGGTGATCAATAATAGGAAATTTACATATCTTCAAAATATTATAAAGGTTGCCTACAACTCAGACAAAGATTTTCCTAGATATTTTAATTTAAGATTAATTGCAGGACTCTGTATATTTTCCAAAAATTTAAATCTTGACTAACGCTAACTAATCTAAATCTAATACATCACAAATAACCTCCAACATTATTATCTGTTACAAATAACCAATACAAACACACTTAAAAATATCCTTAATTAATATTACCCATTAGAACTATTTTTTTTCTCTCTTAAAAAAAACAAGACTGTATACATCAACTTGAAAAAAAAACAAACAAATAAATAAACAAGGCGTTAAAAGCCTTTTCAAGGTTCAACCTTAGCATCAATATCAACCCTCTAGACCAGGCAGACCTTGGTAGATTTTGTCCATCTTCCGAAGATTTTTGAACGAAGATCACTTTCACTATTAGAGCTGGGTACGACCTGGTATAAATAGTGCGTGAAGATGGGTACCGTGAGATAGAAGTGCGGCAGTTCTTCGTCGATCTGTTTGTTAGTTTTTTGTAGTTTGTGAGGGTGTGATACGTTGTTGAAAATGAGAGGTTTCTTGGTAAGGGTTTGAAGAAAATTGAGTTTTTTAGTGAAAACGATTTTTTTGGATCGAAATTTTTGTATTTTTTTAATAATTTTTTGTTTTTTTTACTCCACTTAAATGGAATTAGTTTGGATATGGCGTTTGCCGCCTCAGCCTGAATATCTGTTGGTAATTTACTTATTTCGTTTTGAGCCATTTCTGCAGGGTGGGCATGATTCAAATCAAATGATTTAAATCATGATTTAAATCGTGATTTAAATCAAGTGATTTTTTTAAATTTTAATTAGCAGTTAAGGCAGAAAATATTTAATGCCTTTGACACTGTCACCCCTGATATGTTATCCAATGTGAGGAGGGGATTTTATGATCGTTTGGGTTATTGTTTAATGCAAGAGGGAGGCACTTTTGAACAATTTTTGTAATTTTTTAAATTTCATTATCCTGTTTTTTTACCGTTTACCCATTACCTACCTTGACGAACATGGGAAAACGAAGGTCCTTTTCAGGACCACAAATATTTTGATTGAAAAAATTGGTAACTTTTTTTGGATTAAAAAACAAAAGTTGTTAATATAATACCAATTAAAAGTGTTTTAGTAGTTTTAATACACACTATGATATAAAATTTATTATTATTATAATGTACATTATTAATACTATTGTTCATTTGAAATGGCATTAAGGCCCAATTGCAACAATGATTTAAATTTTTCTTAAAGAGAAGTAGAGCTTAGAATGAGCTGTATTTATATTTACTTTAATATTCACCTTAAATGAGGGAATTTGACTGATACAATTTTTGAATTTGAATTGTTTTTAATGATACTAACAATTTTAGTTCAATTTTTAATAACATTTATTTAATATTAATAGAAATCCAAGAGATTTGAAACCTCTTTTAGCGATTTATAACATTCTCAAATGAATTACAGGTGCCCTTATTTTCTATGAAAATCACACAGCTTTTTTCATAGTCGCTGCAGTTGCTATAGCTATAAAAAAACTAATTTTTTAAGTTGTGAAAATTGCGACACACGCTAAATGGACTTGATTTTTCGTATGTCTCGAAGTCTGTGGACCTTTTTGTATGCCTCGATAACATAATGGTGCAGATTATTTTCACCCAAACAAATAATAACCCAAACTATACATTGATGCGGATTGTCTATGAACTCTTTCTGAAGGTCACAGAAACCTGAACGCGTAATTCGGTGTTCTTTCGCATCTGTTATAAGTAATTTGTGATATTATGGCACTAAAAGAGATGCAAATACCGAAATAAATACATTTAATCATGTGATTTAAATCAAAAAATCAACTTTTTTAAAACTTTACAATAAATCGAAAAATAAATGTAAAAGTTATAAAAATGTATCCTAGAAAACTATAAAAAAGATTTCTATAACAAATTTACCCTATGTCTATTCATTATGTACTAGTGAAAAAAAAAACGCTGTTCGAATACATTACATTCGCAACCTCTAATGCAGAAAAAGGTTCTTTAGATGTTAGACTATATCTTCAAATCGTTGTCAGAAAATACGCTGTTTTATATATTTTTTGAAACAGCTGTATATTGATGAAGATAACTTCTGCCTTCATCAATTTATCTTCTAGTTCTTTTCAAATTAAACATTACAAATAATTTTTTAATCAATTTCAAACGTTGCAAATGATATAATAAAAAGTAATACCTTGGTTTCTATGCTTTTTTTGCTTAATCAAAATTAATCGAGATAGAGTGGCTAGAAGCTTGGGGACAGCTTTCATTAAAACATTTTTTTCAAAGCCCTTACTGATTCTTCAAAATTTGGAAAAAAAACTTTATTTATATTCTTCATGAATTTAAAATCTTTGGCTCGAAAAAGTGAGAGTGGATCGGGATGATTTTTTCTAAATGGAACACCCTGTATATTATTGCATTTTTGGTTTCATTTCTGATCACTTTACATAATCCTGAAATGTTAGTCAATATATTTTGAGAGTTTCAGAAATATCAATATATAAACAAAAAATTTCAGCCTTTTAAAAAAAATATTAAAAATACAAGAAATGTCCTAAAATCAAAACTACACCAGGTATTTACTATAGTTGATCTGTACTTACTTTTGCTATAAATATCGTACTCTTATACCATACAGGGTCTTCAAAATGCTATGCCAAACTTTCAAAAATATAAAAAATGTTAATTTTTTAATTCTCCATCTAACAATGAAAAATAACAGGGTGTTCCGTTTAAAAAAACGAAGAGTTTGATTAAAAATTTGATGACAAGGGCTTGACCTCGCCAACATTACCATCGATTGTCATTTCCCGGCCGTGTTTGACGCCGTTTTTTTTTTTATTGAATGGTATTTTAAATTTGAAATACCCACATTAACTTAAAGTATTTTTTAAATTTTGAGCCATGTGAAAATTTAGATTTATTCTATCTCTATCAAGTACAAGTGGTACTATTTCTATGCAATTAATATTGTTAAATAATTTTTAAAAATGTCATACTTATATATGATTACACTTTAAGTGACTCTTTAAATCAAACATATTAAAAATATATTTCAAAAAAAATATTTCTTTAGATGATTTTAAATTATTCTCATTTTAAAATAGTATACATACTTAATACTATTAAAAATTAAAATCAATAAAAGAATGAAACTTAGCTTAAATATATGTGCACTTGTTTAAGACTCATCCTGTATGTGGTTATGATTGATGACTTTTTTGATTTAATACTTATTTACTTTTTGTAAAATTCAAAATTACATTGTAGATACCTGTATTGTTTTTTTCTCTTTGAATGTTTTTATGTAGTCTTATAGATTTGAGAAAATCTCTTTATAATCAATGACCTTTGTGTTTTTCAATTCGTTTTAACATTAATTAAAGGTCTGAATTCTAGGTTTTTAGAACACTTAAAGGTCTAATCGTTTATTTTCTAATGATCTTTAGCACAAAAAAAACAATTTTGTAGTTTGCAAAGATTCGGCAACAATTAGTAAACTCAAGATACAAAGTACAGGGTGTGGCGTAAATAACTTCAAGTATTTAAACCTAACTGGTAATATATTTTGACCTATACAGGATGAGTCCTAAGTAAGTGTAATAGCTATATTATGTATTTTCAATCAAGTTTCAATCAAGTGAAGTAAAAATACGTAATAATCAACAAAATTAGCAAGTGTTTTATTATATTTATTTCCCGAAGCCACACAGGAAACAAATGTTATAACATTAAACAAACGTTACAACATAGAAAGATGTACTGTGGAAACAATAAAATTCTTATAGCATCTAAGAAAGTGTGACTGTGTTCTCTTATGTCTTCCAATTAATGTCAAATGGTACTACAACATCGCAATGAAGAAAGTAAAAGTATCATTAATTTGTTTGTCTATTACGAAAAAAAAAAGAGATAGGTAGCCTAAGAATTAGTACCCGTTAAAACTAATTTAAATACTCGCGTTTTATTTTTTTATTGTATAAGTGTCTTTCTCAGGGATATAAAAATGTATCCTAGAGCAACTATTACTATATACAGGGTGTCCAAAATTCTATGGCCATATACAGGGTTGTTAACCACATACGACACGGAGTATTGTAGCTAAACGATCAGATTTTTACAAATTGTAAGTTTTGGGTTCGATGAAGGACTATTAGAGGTACAATTTAAAGATAATTTTACAAGATACAGAGTGTCCCAAATAAGTAAAAAATATCAAAGTTGTATTTTTTTAAACGGAACACCCTGTATATTATTACATTTTTAGTTTCTACGAATAAAATAAAGGTAAATTTGATTAAGATTTATTATACTTAAACCTTACCGTTTTTGAAATATTTTCAATTTTGTGAAATTGCAGTAAAAATTTTAAGGCTTCATTTCTCCAAGGTATCAAAGTTTTTAATACTAAATATTTACTGAAGTTTATTTACTGATCAGTTATTGTGTTGCAATAATAAAAATAATACTACCTTATACAGAGTGTCTAAAAATTTATTTTAAATAATTATTAGCTTCAAACGGCAATAACTTGTTTAATTTAAATGGAACACCCTGTATATTTTACGAGAATCAGATGCACAATTTAATTGTCTATCAAATTATGTTATACCATACCATTTTTTACCTATCTCTTTAAGTTTCCGTAGAAAATGCATTTTCTTGTAATTTAGAACTTATTTATCAATATACCCATGGACTATTGACATTTTAGATTATTTTTAAAGATGTACCAAATTTTTAAAGAGTACAGATACTAATATTGTCGATATAATTCGTTTATTTCATTAAAAAATAAAAAAAACTGTTTAAATATTTGTTAAAGAGGACCAATTAATATGATTCCAGTATTCAAACTACATTAACTGACTGCGTTGATTAATAATAATTGCTCCAAATACTAAAAAACTGAACAAAGACTTTAATTTGATAATTTATTATTATATTGATTTCTGACTCAAAAATCCACATTTATTTATAATAATTTATTAACGAACACAATTAAGTATGTCATTAATTAGTATATGGGCGTAAATAATGGTGTTATATTTAATTAATGGTATACTCTTTTATAAAGATTTAAATAGTTTTCTTTTTGCATACAAATGGGCTAGTAATATTGTCGTTTTGCTAGAAACGATAATATTACTAGTCTGTACATTTTGTACATTTGTTGCTTTAAAAACAATCTAAAATGTCAATATTCCATGGATATATTGATAAATGAGGTCTAAATTATAAGAAAATGCATTTTCTACGAAAACTTGAAGGGATAGGTAAAAAATGGTATAATACATTTTGATAGACAATTTAATTGTGCATCTGATTCTCCTAAAATATACAGGGCATTCCATTTAAATTAAAGAAGTTATTGCCGTTTGAAGCTAATAATGATTTAAAATAAATTTTTAGACACTCTGTATAAGGTAGTATTATTTTTATTATTGCAACACAATAACTGATCAATAAATAAACTTCATTAAATATTTAGTATTAAAAACATTGATACCCT